AGTATTCTGAGTTCTTTATCTGACAGTTCATAGATCTCCATTTCGTTAGGATCACTTATTGGAGCTTTATTAGTTTTCTTTAGTGGTGTCATGGTTACCTAGTTTTTCAAGTACCTTCATTCCTTACATTGGTATCTGTACCTGTGAATAAGTGGTCTCCTCTTTCAGACTTCACAGGTTCCCTTAGGCAGAGACAGTTCTTCAATAATCAGTTCAGTTTGGGTTTCTGTATGTGTCTGCTGGTAAGATCCTTGGGCAGATGGGGCTTGCTATTGGGGTCTAGTTTTGGGCAAGGCCACTACCCAAACTCTGAAGTTGAGGGAGAGTGTGCTGCTGGCTGAGAACAGTTGAATAGGACTGCTGGCCTGGTTCCCTGTCCAAGCAAGGCTGTAAGATGGGCTCTGTGGTTGCCTGGGTTCTTTGGGCTAGCTTCCTAGACAGTCTTAACTGTGTACTATACTCAACAGTAGCTGGGGCTATGAATTAGCTTTCTTGCTCTGGTGAGGCAGCAGAATGGGCCTGAAGATCTGCACATTCGTTGTTTGGGGACCCGAGTCAGGCAAGACTGTACACTGAGTCCCCTGGCCAGATGGAGCCACCAGTAGTGCTGTGCAGTTGGGGAAAGCCAAGGGCTGTGTTCTGTGTTCAAGTTCCACTGTAAGCAGAGCTGTTGGATGGGCTACACAGCTCCCTGTGTGCTCTGTTTAGGTTCCCTGTTTGGTAGGCTGAATGCTATATTTTGCAATGGGTGGAGCTATGAATTAGTTTATCTGCCTGGGCAGAGTGGGAGAACTGGCTTGGTTCTCTGTCTGTGGTCTTGCCTCAAGCTGACCTACACCCCATGTTCCCTGGCTGAATGGTGCCACTGGTTTTGCTCTACAGACAATCACCTCTGCCTGTTGTACTCTCAGCTCAAGCATTGCTGAGCTAAGAAGTTTCCAGGTGTTCTGACCAGGCTTTCTGGTCAGGCTGGGCCTGGAGTTACACTCACCAGTGAGTGGGGCTATGAGTTAGCTCCCCTGCCTGAGTTTTGCCTGTTCTTGACCTTCATATATTTGGAATCACACACATGTACTTTTTTGTATCAGGCTTTTCATGGTTCAAAATTATGTCTGTGAAATTCTTCCATGTGTTGCATGCATTAAATTCATTATTCCTTATTAAGTGTAGTTAGCCATTGTATGAATATGTAACACAATTTATTTACCTGGTATTTTGATAGACATTTATTCTTCCCAGTTTGAAGTTACTATGAACAAAACTGCTAGGAACATTTTTGTTTATGACTTTTGATGAACACAAACACTCATTTCTTTTAAACCGAGGAGTAGAATTGCTGGATCATAAGGTGTGGGTATATTCATCTTCAGTAGATATTGCTGGACAGCTTTTCCAAAGGTGACACATCAAATTATGTTCTTCTCAGCAATATCTGAGATTTCCAGTTTTTCCACATTGTCATCAACACTTTATATATGTGTGTGTGTGTGTGTGTGTGTACATACATATATATATGCACACACACACACACATGCTGGTTCTTTTAATTTTAGCTTATGGTGAAGGTGTAGTGGTATGTCATTGTGGTTTTACTTTGCATTTTATTGATGGCTAATGAAGTTGAGCACCATTTTATTGCTTATAGATCATATGGAGATCTTTTGTGCGATGTCAATTCAAAGCCCTTGCCTAGTTTTAAATTGGGTTATCCTTTTCCTTTTGATTGTTACGAGTTCTTTATAGATTCTGGATACAGAAATATATACATAATGTAATGCAGATATCTTTTTTCTGGTCTCTGAGTTGCCTTTGCATTCTATTAATGTCTTTTAATGAACAGAAGCTCTTAATATTTATAAGATCCAATTTATTCATCTTTTATATTTTGTGTGTCCTCTTTAAGAAATCTCTGACTACTGCAAAATCACAAAAATATTCTTTGTTCACTTCTAGCAGCTTATAGTTTTACTTTTAATATTTTTGTCTATTATTTCAAATTAATTTTTGTGTATGAAGTAAGGTACTATTTAAGGCACATTACTTTCAAACAAATACCAATTGACTAACACTATTTATTGATTAGATTGTCCTTTTCCTATTTAGTTGGAGTAGAGCAGGTGTTGAAAAGCAGGTGTGTTTGTGAGTCTGTTTCTGAACACTCTATTTTGTTCCATTGGTTTATTTGTCTATCCTTGTACCAGTACCACATGTAACTATTATAGCTTTATAAAACATCTTGAAATCTGGCACATTAAGTTCTCCACATTTGTTTTTCTACTTCAAGTTTATCTTGGCTACTTTAGGTCTCTTTCATTTTCCATATGCTATGGTTTGATTATTTGCGTCCCGCCCCAAACTCCTACGTTGAAACATATCCCCCAAGGTGATGGTATCAGGAAGTGGGACCTCCAGGAAGTGAGTAGGTCATGAGGGTGGAACTTCATGAATGGGATTAATGCCCTCATGAGAGTGGCCTGAAAAATCTTCTCTGCCCCTGCCACCATGTGAGGAAAGAGCTGTCTAGGCCATCAAAGAAGTGTGGCCTCCCAACACCGAATCTGCCTCCTCCATGATCTTGGACTGTACGGCCTCTAGAACTGTGAAAAATAAGTGTCTGTTGTTGAACAAATATTTTAAGCTCCCTCAGTCTCTGGTATTTTGTTATAGCAGCTCTAATGGACTAAATACCATATAAACAGAAATAGCTTGTCAAATCCACACACATGCAAAACCTGATGAGATCTTGATTAGGATTTCATTGAATTTCAATCTGAATTTGGGAATTTGGGAAGAATTGACTCAATATTGCATCCAGAAATCTATGAGCATGCTCCATTCATTTATTGCTTTGTCTCTCAGCAATTCTTTCTAGTTTTCAGTGTAGCAACTTGTACATTTTTCATTGAATTTATTCCTAGGTATTTGGTGCTTTTTGATTCTACTGGAAATGATATATTTTATTTTCTAATTGCCTATTTTGTGTCTATAAAAATATAATTGTTTTTGTATACTGACTTTATATCCAGTAATTGGCTGAATTCCCTTATGAATTCTAAATGTGTAGATTCTTTTGCATATTATTTATGACTAGTGTTATCTATGAAAAATGATTTTTTAACTTTTTTCTTTCCAATTGTCTTACATTTTCTGTTTGTTGCCTGACTGTACTGGCTAGGACTCCACAGGACAATGCTGTACAGAAGAGATGAAATGGGCAGTGGTGATACTCCTGAATTTGGGGGAGAGAGTGTTTAATATTCCACCATTAAGAATGTGTCTTTCGTAAACATCCTTTATCATATTTAAAGGGTCCTTCTACTCTTATTTTACTGAGATTTTTAAAATCATGAACAGATTTTTAATTTTATCAAATGCTTTTTCTGCATCTATTGATCTAATAATATGGTTTTTCTCCTATATTCTGTTAATGTGAAAAAATATTAATAATTTTTTATGTTGAACCAACTTATCACTTCTGCAACACTGCCTAGTTATGAGGTATTACACACGAATACACATCCACACACATCTACACATAGATAAAATTTATTAATAGGTTTCATATTTCTATAGGATTTTTGTGTCTATGATCATGGGAAATATTTATAATCTTTCTTGTAATATCTTTGTCAGGTTTTGCTATGCTATCAGGGCCACTCTGGCTTCAGTTGTGAGCCCAAATTTGTTCTTTTGCATGTGAATACCTCTTTTTTATCTTATTTACTTTCTTTTATTTACTTTGGGTTTCTTGTTCTTGAGATGAAAGCTTAGCTTTCCAATTTCCAAACTTTCTACTTTCCTAATATTATTTATTTGAAGCTATTCACTTCCCTCCAGGCATTGCTTTAGTTACATCCCACAATTTTTCCTATGTCCTATTCTCATTATCATTCAGTGAAAAGTATGTTGTAATTCTCATTTTAATTTCTCTTTGACCCTTGGGTTATTCAGAAGTGTGTTGCTTAATTTCCAAACTTTTGGGGATTTTCTAGACTTGCTTTATGGTCCAGCATATAGCCTATCTTGGTAAGTGTCCTACATGCACGTGAAAAGAAAATGTATTTGCATTGTTTGGTGTAGTTTTCCACATTTATCAGTTAGACCAAGCTAAGGTCCCAGTCACGTGAGTAAAGCCACCACCAGTCTCCTAGCTGGGCCTCCAGATTGAGAAACAGACGAGCTATCCCCACTGTGCTCTGTTCAAACTTCTGAGCCACAGAATTTGTAAAATGATTATTTTATGCCATGAAGTTTTGGGATGCTTTGTTAGGTAGCAATAGTGAGAAGAATTTAGCATTTTGTAGGCTCAATGTTTATGAGAAAATCTTTGCTTTTTCATAATCCTTATAGAATTTAGGACTAGAGAAGTAATTCTAGTGCAATGTATTTTATATACATTTGGAAGTAGCCAAGATTAACCAAAAAAATGGACATTTTACAGCTGTCATTCTAGTAGCTAGTATCACACTCTTGAACACAATGTTACCAAAAGTTATACAGAAAATCTTGTGCCACTTTTTTCCTATGCAAAAATCTACTTAATTGTTATAATTGTTAATGTCTATAAAAATAAAGCAAATTAAATCACAGAGATTCAGAGAGGAAATACATATTTGACTATGCTGTTGAAGGCAAAGTTCAGTTCTGAAATTCCAAGAGGATACTAAAAAAACTGCTTTGCAACTGAAGGAAAGAGAGTTATCTTTGGCTATTCATATTTTAGATTTCTGGGCAACTAAAGTAAATCTCTCTAGAACAACCAGGCTGGGGCTTCTGTATCTTTGCCCACTGGTCCACACAGCTGCCACCCAGGTTCTAGTGCTTCTGGCTGTGTGGGTGAGTCATAGAGCTCTTGGGAAGCAGAAGGTCTGGTCTCCTTTCAAGGTGTTGTGTGAGTCCATTAGGCACTTGTTCTAGGCTGTACTCTCAGGATTACTGGGCAGAAACGTTTAAAAGTATTTATTTATTTTGAGTCACTATTGTAAAAACTAATGCAAGGGTACAGTTAAAGAAAAAAAGTGTTTATTTAGGCCATCCACTAGGATCATAATAAATAAAGCGGTATACTAATGTAATAACAGATGTTCTCATGCATTTATCACATTTATAAATATACAAGAAAGCTGGCTTACAGGGTTCTTGGGACAAATTTGGAAAAGTGTATTTGGCAACACAGTGAAAGTTAACAGTGTTAAGACTATCAAACAGATTCTCTTTCCTATCATTTTTTAAAATACATCCTCTATGTATCTGTGAATAAATGGTAATGTTCCTTTTTAGTTTCTAGTTTTTATAAACATGCCAGTTCTAAGCCAACTGTCAAAGGACCCAGGTTGATCATTTGTTATTTATCAATATTGCTAATGGAAAACAGATTTTAGAAAAGAAATAAAAATTAATTCTTCTGCATTTCAATGTGGAGGCTGATACACTGTAAGCCAGAATCATTTAAACAGTAAAATGTGCCTAAATGAAATGAACCCCAAAGTGGAAGTTCATAAATAGGAACTCTGATACTCAATATACGAATGCTATAGCATTATGATTGTAATTTGATGAATGACCAATTATCTGACTGCAAAAGTGATGAACTTTGATTAATGCTTAATTTTGCTAGTAAATTTCACACAGAGTTAAAATAGGGTAACCTTTAACATAAATAATTTAAACATATCTTAAACACTGAAAATGTGTTTTTAATTGTTATTTACAGTTAATCAATGATACCAGTGTATAGCTTAATTTAGCCAATTGCCAGTCTTGCATCCCTCTTTCCACATCTGCTATTACAATTTTCTTCATAAATACTTAGGCAAATCAGTTTAGTGAAGGGGAGCGATCTGTGGTCCAGAGCAATTCGATGTATGGCCATTTGGTTTGGAGACAGCGTTTAATAGGAGTGTCATCCGTTTGCAGCATGGGATCTTCAAAACCCATAACAACTGCAGTCCCTTCTACATACATCACCTGTTAACAAAATAAAGCCACCAAGGTCAATCAATATTCTAAGCAAATTTTTAAGAAAGATACAAAAATTTTCATAGGCTAGCAGATAAGACATAAATGGAACTTTACATCTAATTTTATTATGATAGAAATTATGACCAAGAATAGCTGCTTACTGATTAATGTGAAAGTATATTTGGAAACAAGACGGTGACACAAATTTTAACTGCTAGGTGACCAGTTGATTTTTAGTTTTTAAGTTCACGATTTAAAAGAAAGCACATGTGAATCCCAAAACACATACAGTTTCTGATAAAAGACATATCATTCTTCAAATAACATATACTACTTGGAAGAAATTTTAAATTATTTATGTAACAATTTATATAATTCCCACTGTTTTAATATTGAGGCCCTCAAATCATCATGCTGCCTCAGGAAATGGAAAGCTGTAACAGAAATATAGCTGTATATTCTGAGGCTTTACTTTCTCCTCTCAATTTAGGTGCTGAATTTCCAGAGCTGAAAGTAATCTGGATGTTTGTCAGTGAAATTTGCTATTCGCTGTATTAAATACTTCTGAAAATGCTGTTCCTGAATGTACTTTGTACTGCATAAAAAATCAAAAAGAAGTCAGGACAGAAACAAAAATCAAATAGAAAAAAGTTAAACTAACCGGGTACTTTAAATGCAGTGACAATGATCATATAAAACAGAAACTGGCAGGTGGGTATCAGAAAAAAATTTTTTTCTGATTAATTTATAATGACAGTCTTTTAGATGGATCTATGAAATAACATACTTACTAAAACCCTAACTCATTATAAGGGGTCACTGTGTACATTAAGCCATTCAGTCATTAATTTCTTTTTGTACCAAGAGAAATTCTGATTGTATGATCTAAAAGGAATAGATATAGACTGCCTTTTTCCCAAGTATGTATACTTATTTTTATACATTCAATGGCTGATAGATGTGATTGTAATTATGTTCTTCCAATATAAAAGTCCTAAGTTATTTGAGTAAGAAGCCAAAAGAAACAACTTTATTAGCCTTAAATGAGAGTTTCCTTAAAAACACACTAAATACAGGAATAGAATATATTACTAGGTTGGATAGTTTGGTTTCATGAATCTACTCATTTTTAGGAAGCTCTAAAGAATACTTTAATGTGAAATACATTTGTTTTTCATTTTTATTTTGGTTAATGTATTAGTTTGTTTCTAGTTTTGATGAAAAATATTTGCCATTAAAACTACAACTCACGCTTTTTAACTCCCCAAAGCAAATCTTCCTTTTCTGAAAAACTGTCCATAAAGTACAATAACTTGAGTTATTATAATTAACAGATGAGACAGACCTATTTTCCACAAGGAATTTCACTTGCTCCTCGCCTTAGAGCAGATGTGCTGGGTGAAGTACCATGACCTACCTCTGCGGCCTCCGCCACCTGCGCCACCTGGTGGATCCCGCTCCCTCCTGCGTGGCGAGCATTCTCCTTTTGTCAGTTTCCTCAGGTAATTGTAATAGTACCTCACTATGCGGTCTACCGTGTTTCTACCTCCTGAGTAACTTCATAACGTTACCTCTGCAACTTAATGACACACATGCTTTGCTTTATAGTTCTTACATACTATTGTCATGTTAATATTTCATCGCTGATTTCTGATCTTTTTGTTAGTATGTCAGACGCTTGTCACAAGCATGATTTGAAAACTTACTATATACAGGTAGCGTGGCCAACAGATCAAGGACAGGATTGGGAATCAGGAACTCAGTTCCAATCCCTGCTCTGCCAATGACTTGCTGTGTGACCCTGGGTGAGTCGCTTAATCTCCCTGTCTCAGAGGCCTCATCTGTAAAATATGGACAATATTTGACTGACCTACTTTGCAGGATTGTGTAGGTGAATAACTACTTAGTGACTATAAAGCACCTCCTATTACAAGGCTACATAAAACTTCCAAATCTAGAAGCAGCACTCATTAACACATATTAGGAAATACCGTCCATGTTTTCTTATTGACAATTTATATTTTTTGCTATATACATAGAATAATAAATTATCTTCTTGTGAAAACATCTTTAGAGCTAACTTAATAAAACTTCTAATTTACATTTTGTTATGAACATAGGAGTAAATTTTAGTCTGTTTTAGATTTGCTCTAACTAAAATTACGTATTTAGTGTACATTAGGACCTATTTTCTGTAGCCACCCTCAGTTTAGATAAGTATAAAAGCAGCATGAGTATTTCAAGTTAAAAAGGTATGGTAGGCTTTATTCCTTCTAATATTAGCTCTATCTACTGTGACTGTTACTTGAATAAATGCAAATATAATAGATATGGCGTATGTGTAGACAAGCTAATATTTAATCAAAAAGGGTGGGTGAGTGAGACAATTGTGATTTAAACCCACTGAGTACATCGGAAGTGACTCAGGTGGCTTTGTCAATGAGTCACAAAGGAAAGCAGCAAAGCATGGTGGGTAAAGTGCAGGCTCTGAGACAGACTACTGAAAAGTTTCTGCCGCTTCCTGGCTGCTTGACCATGACAACTTGCTTCCCTCTCTGTTTCAGTTCCCTCCTCTATAACCTGGGGCTCTAGAGACAACACTTACTTCCTAGGGTGGTGTGAAAACAGAGAAAGCAAGTACTTACTACATAATTGCTCAGTAAATGCCCCAAAATGCTAGCTATTGTGGTTATTAGTTTATTACATCTTTCAAAAATATTTTTCTCAATCAAAAACCTATTACCCCTTTCTCCATTTAAATGGATTAATAATTTTCACTGGCCCCAACTATAATGTTGATTTAGTCATATTTACACAGCCAAGGGCAACATGTATACAGATGTAGTTATTTGTTACAGTGAAACTCTTGCTCCAAAATTCCAGTGAAGATCTCACTGAAAATCACATGCTGCTTAAATCAAAATATGACCAGTTCTAAGATATGTTGTGACAGTAAAGAGACTCCTGGAATAATCTCCTTAGGTAGCAACTTTATGGGAATCAAACATTGTTATATATTCATATTTCTTTTATCAATCCAGGTAAAGACAAATAACTATGTGAATTATCATACCTTTTCATTATAATTTGATTGCTTCAGTCCATTGTAGTGGTAGACAGTAAAAGACTCTGGACCACTCGAGCCCTAGTGTAAATAAAGTACTATTAAAACTTTCAATTATATCTTCATATCAGGCAATTTCTAATTAGCAATTGAAAGTAAAATGCAAGTTTCTTAAATCCTCACCCTTTGATTGGGGAATCATTTGGTAAAGCAAGAAAACCTAAAAGCTGAAATAGCTGCTCCTGGGGAAGAGACTGGAAAGTGGGGAAGTGCTGATTTTTATTATAAGCTCTTCTGACTAGACTTTATTTTATGCTTTTAACTATGATTTTTTTTTAAAGGACAAGGTTCTAAAACACAAAAGTATTTCCTACAATGTATCTCTGCTTTTTCTCTAGTTGTAAGTAATTTGTTCCTCTCAACTACAGAATAGGAATAATATCCCATTTACTCAGACCACAAACATATATGCACCAACACTTCCAATCTATTGGTTCACAATATGGAATTAGGGCTTTCCATTCCAAAAAACATCATTTGAGTATTGTCAACTTTTAATTAGTGAAGAGAGCATTGCGAGAAATGAAACACACAATTATAGTGTTTAAAGAAAGGATATCCTGTAAGTCATAGAAAAACTGATTGATCATGTTATTCCCACTGTCTTAACCTTGGTTCTCAATTAGCTAAAGATCAAGTTCAACTCTCTGGACCTAGCATTCATGCCTATTCATGGCTGGGCCCCACTGAAGGTGCTCGGCTCCCATGATTTCCCTCAGGGCCTGGGTGTCCCTGTGCCTGTCCCTCTTGTCTTTCTGGCCTCATCCGATTGATACAAGGATGGGCATGTGACTCAGGCTGGGCCAAAGTCCCTCCTCAGAATTTTTTCAATTGGAACAAAGGGAAGACAGCTGCTGGTAACTGTAGCTTCAGCTTCCTAGAGAAAGATCGATTGGTTGAGAAAAGGTACTACTCTGGAGAGAGAAAGGGTGGGAGATGGAGACACTGCTCCAATCTTGGAGGCTCCTAGTGCTACCTTCTGGATGCTTCCTTCTTCAATTCCTCTGAGCTACTCCTTCCAATTCATATCTGTCCTTCCCACTTATGTCAGTTCAGGCTGGGGCTCTGTGATTTGCAACCAAGAATCTTACAATACACAGTCTAATCTACCTTTCCAGTCTTATCTGCAACTACTCACCTTTCTGAATTCTCTGTTTTAGACAAGCATATTTCTCATTTTCCCATGAAAAGAGCTTTTGTTGTCAGCTCTTTGCACATTCATGAGTTTTTTTTATTCCTCTCTAAAATGCCCTTCTCTCTTGCTCTTTTCTTCTTTTTCAAGACCGGGTTCAAATCTTACTTTCTCTGTAAAGTTTGTCTGGACTCCAACACTAGCTGGATTCTTTATTACTTTGGGACCTTTATAATAACAAGTGTCTCAATATTTAATTTGGGAACAAATCATATACGACTTTATACTATCTCTTCAGTTATTTTGAAAGATTGTTTAAATTTTTAGCTGTTTTTTAACTTTTCATGTCTTAGATTCCCAACTAAAATCCAACCTCTAATTTTTTGTATCCCACTGAAAATGCTCTAAAAAAAGACAGAAAAATCAATAATTTATTTGATCACTTTCTTAATTATATATATGACTCAAAGCAATTAGTTACTTAGATAAATAATTTGGCTGTTGATTTCGAGTTAACATACTTTAACTCTCAAATACTTTACTGTAATTGAATACATTTTCTATTCTCTAGTTCCAGTCGTTAATAATTGGCATAAAATACTGAAATATCAACAAAAGGCAGTATAACACAGTGGTAAAATGCTTAGTCTCTGGGGTTAGATGACCTACGTTGGACTTGAACTAGCTACTTACTAGCTATATGACCTTAAGCAATTTTCTTAAGTTCTCTAATCTTCAGTTTCCTCATTGCCAAAGTGGGGGGAAAATATTACCTAATTGGTAAGGCACATAGTGCCTGGTGCACAGTACGTGCTTAATGCATGGTATCTGCTTCTGCTATTCTTGTCATAAACAAATTGCCTTGAGATGGTTATGAAATTCCCACGGCTCTTTTCCCCCTGCATCTGCTCTGCCTTATGGCAAAGAAACGCTCTTCCACAGCACCTACTTTAAGCATTTGCAAAGATTATCGAAGTTAGATAAAGATTTTCCTCGCTGTGCTTCTGACTCCAGTTTTGCAACTTTACTTCATTTATTCCTGGTTGAGTGAATCTTTACTGGGTGTGACTACATTGGTCTGTTAGGTACAAACAAGTATATGAATAATGGCCAAAATGAGTGAGAGATCTTTTTTTTTGACATTATAGTCACAAAATGTAAAATGACTCTACTTTTTATGAAGCACTTAGCAAATTTTAAAAAGTCTAACAGCTATATTGTGATATTCTTAGTTACTTTTTGAATTTTACTTCACTCACTTTCTTTACCCACAGTAACCATAACAGATAGATACAGGTTTAGAAATACAGGTTCCCTTTCTTTTTTAATTACCATGAATGAATGACAATAATATTGTCTACTCTGTTAAAGAAAATTTAAATCTGAGACATCAAATTAACAATTATAGCCTTGAAATTTAATAATTTTATCTTGATATTTTCCATCTATCATTTCGTTACAATTTTTCTACTTGGCAATACATCCCTTTTATAATAGAGTTGGAATAGAAATTAGCAGTTTTATTAAAACAATGAACTTTAATTTAGACCATGCTGTTATCGGATGAAATGATCACAATATACCTAACTAAATCATGTGGAAATTCTTCACTTTCACAGGAAACAGAGAAGAGAAGACTGGAGCAGGCTGTGGCATTGGCTGTCAACGACGTGGATGTTAACTCAGTACTGAGACCAGCAGGGCTCCTTATTAACTGAGGCCCAATCAAGCCCAGTGGAAGACAGGTCCCAACGTGACGGCACAGCTCTACTCAAAGGCTTTCCTTCTACTCAACTAAAATCCTGCTGGAACTTAGGTTCACGAGTAGGGGCTTCCACTACATATAGGCTCCTTACCTTCTTTCTTTAGTACTTAGAAAGTTCGAAAAAGACACATACCAATCTATTAACAATAGTTACCTGAGAGAAGGAAAATAGGGATGGGAGTGGATAAAGAGAATCTCTCTCTTTTTATTCCCCACACTTCTGGACTTTATCCTTTCTTCAGAAAAACAGTATCATTATGTACATATATTGGTGAATACACTATCGTCTACCACTCCCTCCGCCAAAGTTCTGCATTACTGTGTTAGAACACACATACCCTCCTAGCCTCTCTGTTTGGGAAAGTATTTATTTACATAACAGTGCTGTCTTAGTCTTATATCTGCATGTCAGAACACTTTAAATTAGTAGAAAAGAATGTTGAAACAATTACAAGATGATCATCCCAATAGAACAAGACAATAAATATATTCAAGTATGTTACCTGATCAGGAAAAAATTCTTGAAGAAATGGACCCAATAATATGATTCCTAATCCTTCTGGATCTAATTTATTCTTCATAAGATTTATACTATGGGGAGAAAAAAAAGAAAAACAGTGGATACCAAAGGAAAAACTTATTTTCCTTCTTTCATGATTAAATTGCTGGTACTATAACACATTTGACTGCCAAAAATCCTAAGAGCTGTCCTTTTTAGACTCCTAATGACAAATACGCAGGAATGACATCTAATTTGCCAAAACTTGGTTATTTTTAAACCAGAGTAATCTGTTACTATTTAGAATTGAAATGATGACGATGGCTTTGGAATATTGTTCCTTATTAGGTAAAGAAACTTAAAAACCTAGGCTTATAAATGCAGGCGTTAACCTCCCAAGGCAAATTCTCTTTGCTTCGTAGGTATGCCTGAGTTTAACAATGAAATGAGGCATTTGACTTAAAAAAACGTTGTTTTTAAGCCCAAGGAGAACAAGAAAGAGCGTCTAAAGGCAGTGGCACATCAGATAATCAAAAGCATCTCCTAAAAAGCTTAGTTTCCAGAACCAAATGAGGTGGAGGCTTCACATTCGCAGACAATGTGACTTGAAGGTCAGAGAGGTAAGCTAACCCTCGAAGAGCTGAAGTCCCGAGTTACCCTGAGCGGTGCGGCTCCACTGCTGCAGCAGCAGCCGACAGCAGATTGTGCTTTGCAGAGCCCTTCCCATCTAGGTGTAGCCAAGGCTGGGGAAAGGTGTTAGGTGCAAATAGAAAGAAGGCAGAAGGAAGTGGACTGCAGTTTGAAGAGTTTTAAAAATGAAAATGGTCTTTTCAGAAAATTTTCCTTCTCCATGTTATCTCCCAAAGTATAGGTGCCAAGTTAAATATACCTTATTATACAACATGCAAAAGCCAGGACATTTTGATGGGTGTGAGTGAGGCCAGGAGGTTATGACATGACACAAAGAAAGGCATGGTCATATGACACTTAATATATTTAACTTACTAACCCTTAATGTGGCCCTGTTAGTTCATGGGCCATCACGTATTATGAACGTGACTAGACCACTGAAGTACAGAGTGAACAACTCAGTCCAATCTTTCAGCTACTTGTAGAAAAACAATCTAACTCAATTGTTCTAACTTTATAATTTAAGGTGTGTTATGTATTATGATGAAACAAGGGAAATTAAGTAGATGATATATAGCCATTTATGCAGGAATTTGGAAAAAAATTTAAGCAGCTCATTTTAAGGATGTCAAGTCTCTGTTATCATACTGATTAGGCTGATTTCTTCCTAAATCTTTGCTTTATATAAAGTGCTGTGCTTTGTACATGGAGGTTTAGATTAAAAGAAGGGCAAAATTGTGTATAAAGTTTTAAATTTAATGGAATCTTTGTAAAATGGTTAAACAGCATTTCCCATTTAGCTTACTATTCAGGATCTGAAACAAGGTCCAATGCTTTCATCACATCTTCTAAAAGTGAATCAGGTATGAATCCATTATCTGGGTGAAAAAAATTCCAGTAAAAAATCACATAGAAGGGATAGAAAGAGTTAAGGAACACTATATTAAGTTTATTTTAGGCACAATGCCTATTATTAGACACTCCTGTATATTAGTTTTCTTGGGCACATTGGCAAAGTTTTTCAAGGTTAGTTTCTAATAAAAAAAATATATATATAACTTCTACCTGAGAACTCCAAGGAAACCTTAAAGCCAAACTACTTTTTAAACAGGCTTACAAACTTAAATGATAAAAGGTTTTTCTACTTAAAGATATAAGAAATATTTAGTAATTAAGTATATCTTTCAATAAACAACGAGCACCTTTAAATTCCCTTTACGAAATCCAATTAAAATAATTCTTTATGAACAAATTCCTTTTAACACGTTTTTTAACTTTTTGAAAGAATGTTAATGATCCACTGTTACTTAAATAACTGACTATATAAGAGCAGGAAAAGATATCCCTATAACAGACTTGATTTAAATAAAAGCCACAGATTTAATGGGAGAACGAAGTTCAAAGTTGAAATGCTGAGTGGAATTAAACGTTGTAGAGTAGTTTATGGAAAATACTCCTTTTCTTTGGCTTGATGAGGAAATAGCATTGGTAAGCGGCCCAAGCTCTCGTGATGAAACAGAACATGACACACATAAAAGGCTTCCAGGGCGGTTTGAAATCACAGTCGTTTGAAACAAGCAAGTTGTTTGTGCCCTTAAATGTACAGTGCCTCAGTGCTCTACCCATGTCCTCATTCCTGAAGACTGCGCAGCTTTACATCAACTTCCAACACACTATCCTTTTCAGGGATTAGAAAATTTAAAAAGAAAATCTTGTCATGGAGAAAAAGATGTCCAAAAACCCTGCTTCTACAACCAAACTACAGAATAAAGTACAGTTGCTCTTTCAGGATGTGGCATGTACTCTTTCTCTATCAGAAAGGAAATAAGGAAGGTATGATTTTAAAATAGGTTCTTTATTATTTTATTTAAAGTAGGTTATTTTTTATTTTAATAGGTTCTTTTCTATTCAAGAACCTCATAAGCAGATGCTTACCCATTTGAAGACAGATTGGCCTTGACTAAAAGGCTAAGAATCGTGTAGGATACTTAAAAATGTACAATTTTTTAAAGTGAAGGTTTAGAATAATTCCAATTTGTCAAGTCACCAATAATTTGAGGTACAGAAAATAGAGAACTTGTTGGAAGGTACTTGTGAAAATATTCAATCTTTGTGAGCCTAAGTTTGATAAATTTGCAAGGTAGAAAATAATTATTTTGCAAGTCAGAGCTAAAAGCTCAGCATCTCCGAATGTAAAACAGGCTTTGTTTGGCCAGTAGCAGACAAGGAGAATGATCCAGACAGGCCTCTGTGTTCATGGGCTCTCAGGTATATCCCCTCGCCAGAGCCAGTGTGTGCTACCATGTTCTCCAGGAGCAATGAATGGCGGACACGCTTCCCTCTTACCATAAATGGAGACTCAGCTCTCACCCCCAGAAAGAGCAATTGGCTGTATAAAGATGTAAACAACAACTAGGAAAACAACAAAGTGACCTTCAAAAGCAGATGAAACTTTGGTCATCTAGTATTTAGTCTACTAATGCCCTAGAGAATAAGGAAATCGAGACATGATGATGATAAGACGACCTCAATACCAACAGCAGAGGAAATCTGAGAAAGGACAATTTGTTGACTAGTCAAGCAGACCAAGCCCTAAAAGAAAAAGCAGAACTTGAATGCATTGGTAAATTAAACACATTAATATAAAATGGACTTCTACAGGCTTTAAAGCTCAGAAGAATGAAGAATTGAGGTGGGGGTTCAGAACAAAAGAGGCCACAGTTGCTGAGATGGAAGGTAGCTACTGTGTAAATATTCCAATACAGGTAAATGGTGTTTTAAAACATTTGAAAAGGAGGAAAAAAGCTGTTTAGAAATTAAGTTGTTGTTTTTTTTAACACCAGCAAACAGTCAATTTAGGGAATACAAGGAAAGGCCTGGCCGGTCTCCTCTCACAGAGGCGCTAGCTAAAGCAAACATTGTGGAAGGAGAGCGATGCCAGGAACTGAGCAGACGGCAGGGCGGAGCACTTGGCACCAGGACATTTTAAACCACTGTAGGTGAGAGAGAGTAAAGTTTCTTGGGTATAGAAAAGAAAATCAAGATCTAGTTATTAAGGCTTTAATAACATATACCTACAATTTAATATAATTCTTACTGAAAAGCATATGTGACTTTTGCCCCTAGGCACAATGAAGACAGCTTCTCACTCCAGCTTTCCGCGGTGTCTTCGCCTCCGTGGCACCCTGGCTCGCTCCTGGCTCCCAGCAGAGGAGGAGCTCCCAGGTGGCAGGGATTCCATACCCCCAGGGCCGAGCGCAGCAGCTGCTCGCTAACACTTGTTACATTTAATTATTCAAGCTAATTCTAATTTCAGCTTTAATCAAAGTACTGTTCAGGCACCAGGCGTGTATCAAAAACAGCTTGGTGAACTGTATGTATAAAGTTCAGAAAGAAATGAGCAGTTAATTTATGGCTTCTCCCGCACAACCACTTGTATCATGGATGTGATGGAAAAGCTGCAAAACAAAGACAACATGATGACAGGGGACAGGAAAACTGGCTGGTGCAGCATGAAAGAAACAGTGACAACAATGCCACAGTAGCGGGGTGAAGAGCAGAAGTGACACGAGGGGAGCAGCAAAGGTCTAGAGAAGAAAATGTCCTTTAAAAGGATCAGAAAAGACTGAATTAAAAGGCAATTTCTAAGAATGTCTAAGGATTGACATATATTAATCTACAACAAATAAAATTATTCTTAAAGATTAAAAAACTGCAGCCCACTGACAAAAGATGGCTGTCGACATATATTTTAGCAACTTAAAAAAAAAGTATTTAAAGGGCCATTTTAAAATCAAAATATATATCCCTTGGCAAAATAGTGTTGTTTTCTGAAATGTAATTCTATAAGGAGGAGGGGTGAGGGAGAAGGGAAGAGACAGAGAGAAAGAGGAAAACAAAACCAAACCCCGTTACACGTAACGCGAAAACCTGTGACTGATACCGACTCAACACAAGGTTGACATTAGGGAAGCCATATTGTAGAAAAGAGACCATATTGTAACTTTGAATGACCTCTAACTGACCAGCCCAGGGGATATGCACCCTCCAGGAGATCTACCTGCCCTGTAGATATTATGACCCCTGCTTGTGTATGTACCTCCCAGCTGCAGTAAGACGATAACTTTGTTCTTTTGAGTTCCTTAGGAAAGTGATGACCCCTGGACAGAGTCTATGCTGTCAGCCATCATCAATGACAACTGAAAGATCTGGTGTGGCGACTCCCAGTCTGTAACACCAGAGGGTCAACATACCTAACCCCTCCCCTATAACGCACTGGCTTATATAACTGTTTCAAGATTCTGTGCCCCGCTTAGGACACTAGTCCCCCCATCATCCGATTTGCTAGCTTACTGCTTAATAAAGTGCCCTTTCCCTGCCACCATCTTGCCTCTTGACGATTGCCTGTTGCCTTGCAATGAGCAGATTGTGCTCTTTGTGCAGTAACATGACTATTATTTCAAATACCATCTATGTAGAATTCAGTGTCTTTGAAGATACTGAATAAGGTCAATGCCACACACTTTTGGATTTTTTAAAAAACAGTAATATGGTCAATCTATTGAGTACTTGCATAATTATGTAGAGTAGATATTAAGTCCACTTTACAGATGAGAAAACTGAGGTTTGGAACTCACCCAACATCACACACTAATGAGTAACAGGTGGGACTTGAATCCAGGCTGTCTGATACCAACTGGAGTGCTTTTAGCAGTTTAGATACAGCCATTTGTTGCTGGTAGGTGGAAGCACTCCAAAATTCCTCTCTTGTCCAGTATCTTTGGTCACATTTATCAATTTACCTCCATCCTACTTTTTATTTTACTGTTATTTAAAAAAATTCCTGTAAAATGTGTACCTGGATACAAAGCACATATCCAAACACTTTCCCCCACAAAAGAGATGCAAAAAACAAAATAAAACTATGAACTTTCTCCAAAGCCCACATGTAACACTTTGTATAGGTCTGCTTAGGCTCTGAGCATACATACGAGTGTTTATTTTCATTTCTGAATTTGGGATTACTCATTAAACTGAACCAAGTAATTAGATGTGATATGTCAAGGTCCTGCTGAAATTAAAATTTTGATAGTATTACAAAGGAGAAATTAATAGTTAAAAATATTTTTTTTACCTCATTTTATTTGTATGCTTGGAATCAAAATAATTATTGAGCTCCTAAGATCCAAAAGAATCTGAAATGGAGATTATTCTAATTGCTCAATGAGAATGAGAGTCAATATCAAATCCTTATTTCAATAAATTAATAATAGTTAAGGGGTCAGCCCTGTGGCAAAGTGGTTAAATCTGCACGCTCCACTTCGGTGGCCTAGGGTTTCACCGGTTCGGATCCTGGGCATGGACATGGCACTGCTCATCAGGCCATGCTGAAGTGGTGTCCCACATGGCACAACCAGAGGCACTCACAACTAGAATATACAACTATGTACAGGGGGGTTTTGGGGAGAGGAGGAAGAAGAAGGAAAAAAAAAGTTAAAAGTAGATAAATTTAGACAGGTTAAAAAATACCTCTTTATGACTTCAGCCTTTAAAAAAGACACTGGTAGTGGAGAGAGGAGGAAAGATGGCTGATTTTCTGGAAGAACACCTAGAATCTGGCCTCAGTTCTCAAAACTAGATAGGTAGCTCTGAAGAAGTGACTTCAACTGTCACAAAGTTGGTTTTCCTATGAACGAGATGGCGATGGTAATCCCTGCCTACCTCCTGGGTTTACGGTAAGGTTTTAATGAGTCTATGCAAGTAAAGTGCTTTATAAATTGTAACATTCCACGCAAAGGCCAGACATCATCATCATCATCATCATCATCATCATCATCATCATTATTATTTTTAGACAGATGCCCACTTATAAATCAAG